CCCTCCAAATTAAAACCTGTGCTGCGTTGGAATCATGGAATCCCAGAACGGTTTGGGTTCAAGGGGCCTTGAAGACCATCCCATCCCACCCCTGCCATGACAGGGACACCTTCCACTGTCCCAGGTTGCTCCAAGCCCTGTCCAACCTGGCCTGGGACACTTCCAGGGACCCAGGGCACCCTGTGTGGACCTCCCCACCCTCACAGGGAACAATTCTTTCCCAATATCTAATCTAACCCTGCCTCAGCAGCAAAATGCAAATGCAAAGACAAACAGGTCCAGTGAAGCTGGGGCTGTGGGCAGGCGTTCCCCAGCAGCAGCTGCTGCAAGGAGGTGCCACAAGGCAGCTCCAGCTGCTCCTCCATGCTCCAGGGGCACAAGAACGGGGGAAATGACCAACAGACCCGGCTGCTTTCATCAGCAAGAGGTTTCCTTCCATCCCAAATTTTTCCCCATTCCCAGCTGGTTTCACAGGACAGAGCTTTTCCTTCCACCCCAAAATCCTCCAAAATCCCAACCGGGTTTGGGAACCAAAACCTTTCCCTCCAACCCTAAATCCTCCAAAATCCCAACCGGGTTCAAAAGCCAAAAACTTTACTTCCACCCCCATTTTTTCCCCATTTCCAGCTGATTTCATGAGCCAGAGCTTTTCCATCCACCCCCAATTTTCCCTATTCCCAGCTGGTTTCACAGGGCAGAGCTTTTCCTTCCACTCCCAATTTTCCCCCATTCCCAGCTGGTTTCACAGGCCAGAACTTTTCCTTCCATCTCCTATTTTTCCTCATTCCCAGCTGATTTCATGAGCCAGAGCTTTTCCTTCCATCCCCATTTCTCCCCCATTCCCAGTTGGTTTCACAGGCCAGAGCTTTTCCTTCCACCCCAAATTTTTCCCCATTCCCAGCTGGTTTTGTGGGCCAGAGCTTTTCCTTCCACCCCCAATTTTTCCCCATTCCCATCTGGTTTCACAGACCACAGCTTCTCCTTCCATCCCAAATTTTTCCCCATTCCCAGCGAGTGCTCTGGCTGCAGCTCAGCAGTGACTTCTCAAGGGGGGAAGGCGATGCCCAACAATTCCAGTGATGCCCACAGGGATGGGCACGGTGCCCGGGGGCTCTGGAGCTCCTGCGGGCTGGAAGAGGCTGGCACGGAGCTCGGGAACCTCACCAGGACGGAGCAACCACCCAAATATTTCTTGCCATAAAAGAGCCAGCACAGCAAAGGCGGCTAACAGGAGTTTTTCCTGGGCTGAAGGGAAAATCCTCGGCTGGAATGAGGCAGGATCAGGCTCGGGAGGAGGCGCTGGGAAGGCGATTGGAGCCGGACGTGGGATGGCAGCAGCGAGCCGCGGAGGTACCGCTGCGGCTTAGCCTTTGTTTTGTGTAAAAAATAGCAAAGTTTGGGCTTATGTCATTCCAAACTTCTCCCGGCACCAGCTGGGAGATGGGGAGGTTCCCTCCAGCTGGTTTTTTTTTTTTCCATACAGCGTCTTTTCCTTTTCCCCTTTACGTTTTGCTTTTGGTTTTTTGGCTTTTTTTTTTTTCCTTTTTTTTTTTTTTTTTTTTTTTTTAATTCTTTGGCTATTTGATGACCCTCTTCCCCTTGTCCTGGGCGGGCCGAGGGGTTCCTGTGCCCAGCAGGGCGCAGCTGGAAAGAGCCCAGGAATGCAGAAGCATCTCCCCCAGCGCAGCAGCCGGACTTTTCCTCGCCCTAGAACAAAGCACCCCATTGTTCAGGGAAAATGGGAAGGAAAGCGTGACGGAGCAGCCCGAGCCAAGCCGGGAGGGTGTTTCTGCAGGAGCCGAGCACCCACGGCCTGGCACAGGGGTCACCCACCGCCTGCCCCTGATTTTGGGTGGCTCCGTGCCACCCTCGGCGGCTGATGGCCCGCAATCGCGGCGTTTCCCACGTATCCCGAATTTTGTGACACCGTGGGTCGCTTGAGCCGAGGTTTCCTTCCTCCCAGCTCCGGGGTGGCATTTCCCGGGAAATGCCCATCCCGGAGCGCAGCTGCTCGCTGGGAAAGGAGCTCCAAAAATAGGCTCGGAGGGTTTTGTGTCTGGCACGGCTCCGCGGCTCCCTAGAAACACGCTTTTCTCCTACGGGGAAAATCAAACCAGGATGCCTCTGCTACCAGCTGGTCCTAAAAACGAGTCAGGAATTTGCACTGGGAGGATCAGCAGCGCTCCTGAAGCGGGGGCTGCACGTCCCTGTGGGATGGGGACATGGGGACACCGAGCCTTGTCCCCATCGCCCGCCCTGCACGCGTGTGGCCCGTGGCTTTTTGGGGGACGGGGGGGATTTTTCGGGGCTGTCGCTTGGATTAGCGAGGCACCGGCAAAGAGGAGGAGGAGGAGGAGGAGGAGGGTGAGGGGGATAAAGGTCCTGGCACTCGCCGGGCTCGCAACAAAACAAAGCACCAGATGGTTCCAACTTCAGCATAATACGCGGAGAAAAAGTGTTTGAAGCGGGGATGGAAAAGCAAATGTGGGAAGAGAGGGAGAAAGGAAAGAAAGGAAAAAAAAAAAAAAAAAACCCTCAGCAAGTGTCAGAGCAGAAGAAAGCGGCGGAGAAAAATGGCAAATGTTAAAAACCCAAACAAAAAGCCCTCGGCCGGCACAAAGCCACGGCTGCTGACATCTGTCCGGCAAAGCCTCTCGCCAAGGGTCCCCTTCCCTTTGGAGTCACCCTGCCCTGCTGCTGTCACCGCGGGGACACGGCCACATCCCCGGCCAGGGCTGTGCTGGGGACACTGTGCCACGTCCCACAGCCACGGAGCTGTCCCCGGGCCAGGTGGCACTGACGTGCCAGGTGACATGCAGCAAAGCCATCCCTAAATATTTTATTACAATATTTTGTTACACTATTCTGTTACAATATTTTATTACAATATTTTAATACAATATTTTATTACAATACTTTTTGGAGCTCTTTCCGCTGTCACCTCACATGTCCCAGATGTCCTTGTGTGCTGGCAAACCCACCCGTGGCTCTGCTGTGGGGTTTTAAGCCTGGTTTATGATCTGAGCGAGGTTTATCCAAACCCCCCCCAGTGCGAGGCTTTTTTGTGTTCCCCTCGCTCCTCCCCACGAAATTTCTTGAACTCGCAGAGCAGAGCTGCCTTAAAAAAAAAGGGAAGAAGGCTAAGAAGTCATATCGCCCCGGGCATTTTCACCAGAAAAAAAAAAAAAAAAAAAAAAAAAAAAAAAAAAAAAAAAAAAAAAAAAAAAAAAAAAAAAAAAAAAAAAAAAAAAAAAAAAGCAAAATAATCTCATGCAATTGCTCGAGAGTGGATTGCAGAGGGGGTGGAACCCTTTTTTAGCCATCAGAGAATGCACAAGCCTTGGACTGCCGGGCTTGAAACGGGGGCTGGAGTCCTGCTGGGGCCTGTGGCTTGTGTGTCACCACCCCAGGGCTGCCCTGCGGGGTGGCTCCTGGGGAAAGAAGGGGTCCTTGGTTTTGTGATCCCCCCCAAAATCGAGGGGGAAGCGCCGGAACACGGGGCTGGGGCGGTGGAAGGGGTGGATGCCACAGCACAGCAGCTGTCCTGTCACGGTGACACACAGAGAGTTGGGGGGCTGTCCCCCAGGCCCAGGGATGGCAGGGAGATGGGGTGTCGTGTCCCCAGGGCAGGGGACAGCGATGTGTTGCTGTGACCTTCAGGCGTGGGACAGCCCAGGTGATGTGCCGGTGGTTTTTTGGGACAATGAGGAGCTGCAGGGCCGTGTCCCCTGGGGGAC